ATACGAGCTTCCTTCCCTTAGCACAAGTGCACCACAAAAGTTACAAGGCCCTTCACCTTCCTGTTCACATACTATCTTTCCACAAGATAGACAATTGCTAATCAGCCTGTGTTGACGGGCTTGGCATGAGCATGGCTTCCCCTGTTGATATACAATGGACCCTTTTGCAGCCTCAGCAAGCGAAACAACTTTGTCAGATTTTTTCTTTCTAGAGTTTCTTTGACTTGCTTGGGGTTGAGGTGCAGTTGTTGTTGTTGTCGTAGAGTTTCCTTGACTTCCTCTTTGTACGTTTCGTCCATTTGATGTCCCAGCTGTGCTCTGACTCCCCTGCTTACTTGAGGCTTTACTTTCTTTCGGTGCTCGCACTTGTTTTTTAGTTCCAGCTGCCAGACTATCACCTGAAGGGGGCTTTACATATGCTTGCAATTTGGAAGTAGAAGTACCTTGAGTAGTGTGGTATACATCTGAATGACCTCTCCGTCTCAAATATTCATTCGTCACACTTCTTCCAGCTTCCTGACCTATGATATTCTATAGAAGATTCAGAAAGAAAATATGTCAGTAAATGCACCAACAACAGTCAAATGGTACCAATAACAAAAAACACCAAACACAATCTTAATCGCCATGGCCATCTGCAGAGAAGATCTTACCGAATTCACGTGATGATACATGAGATCAAGATTTAATAACCACTAATAAGTATCAATGTGAGAAAGGTCTTAGCAGCACCCAAATTCAGATCGTTTTCAAATACCAAATGAAAAAGTAGCCTTTTACTTTCTAACTGGAGGAACAGAATGCTACACTAGAAAGACTCACCAACGTAGCTCCGTTTTATTAATCTACACATTCTCTAAATATCAAGAAGACTTAACGACATACATACAAGAAAAAACAAATTACTCGTATCAATAAGCATAAGGCATCAATTTGATAAATGGTTAAAATGAACCGAGGCCATTTGACTTTTCATCCTCTCAACAACTAAAAATTTCAGAAACAATTGCGGAAGCACCTCTTGGATTTATAATACAGAATTTGACTGCTGTCTTCAAAATATAGATACTTATAGATATAGTCATAACATTGGAACTTGTACGGATTTTAGTTGCCACGTAAAAGCAAATATTACAAATGTGAAAATGTTGAGAAGAGAGCATAGTTGCTTTATTACTCAGGAATATTCATATAGCGCTGTTACAGCCTATAGGAAAAAAGCGCTAAGGTATGCTCGGGATTAAGTAGAAAGCATAATAACAAACTGATCTTCGGTGAAAAAGTACGAGATGAAGGGAAAACAAAGGTTTATAATGTAAAATGAAGTATCTTTAAACAGAAATAAAGTTATATGAGAAAACAAATTGAGAAAGAATGCAATCTTAATCAATGTCAATAAAGGGCAGTCTGGTGCAATAATCTCTCACTGAGCGGATTCTGAGGAAATGCCAGACTACATCGGGTCTATGTACGCCGACTTATCTTATATATCTACAAGAGGCTATGCTGACTTATCTTACATATCTACAAGAGGCTACAACAACAACAACAACAACGACCCAGTATAATCCCACAAGTGGGGTCTGGGGAGGGTAATATGTACGCAGACCTTACCCCTACCCCGAAGGGTAGAGAGGCTGTTTCCAGGAGACCCTCGGCTCAAAAAAAAAAGCCACAGGAGACGATATATTAGTACCATAAAAATGCATAATACAATAACAGCAATATAAGAGATATGAAATACAGAATACGAAATACAAAATAGATGGCTGGTATAATAAAAACTAGCAGGTAAAGCCCTGCATCACNGCACCATGGCACCTCCCCTTGAATATGATGAGTCAGTGCATCCATCACCAGGGCAAATAGGAACAAGAGGCTATGCCGACTTATCTTACATATCTACAAGAGACTATATCCAATGCTTGAACCCATGACCTCATGGTCACATGGTGGCAACATTTGCCATAAGCGCCAAGGCTCCCCTTTAAGTAAAAACAATGTCAATCAAGCTCAAAAATCATTTTAATTTTTATCAAGCTAGATTCAGTTTTATTTTCAGAAAATACTTTTAATTGAAGCTAAATTTCTAATATTCTACACCTAAATCACCAACAATTCCACAATCATTCTTTAACAATCGTTTTTCCAGCTCTATTTATTATTTAGTACCACCTTTTCAACACTGAGCTACTGTCCGTCATAAATTTAACTTTAAAAAAAAAACAATTCATCACAAAATCAAAAAAAGAAAGAAAATTCCAAAAGGATTCAAATCAGGTTTTCAATGTGTAACAGTGGGATCAAAACTTACACATAGATAAATTATCCCTTTGAATCTAACAAGAGACCCCCTTGATCGTAAATGTCTATAGGTGCAGTCTAATATTAGTCATATACCCCTACCCTCAATTATGGACTTTATACTAAATACAGAACCCAAATTACCATAACAATATGCTCATCAAAACTGGAAGCAAGAAAATCATCGACATAGAAATTATAAAAACCAGAAATATGGATGGAGGGAAAGAGGTTACATCAAGATATTCTTTAGCATCGAGAGGAGGAGCAAGCTCGCAATAGGAGACGAGCCCAGATATAATCTCAGCATCTAAATCAAGACCAGTCTCTATCTTGTTACATAGCTCCAGTAATGCTCTTTCCAGCCATTGCCCTGATGATTCCATTCTTTCGCTTTCTCTTCTCTATTCTTTATTTCTGTGTTCCTGCCTCACCACCGCGTTATATACTCCCAATTTTGTTGGTCCATATTGATATTATAGGTTAATGCACTTACCACCTTTAAGTTTTGGTTTACGCACTTTAGCCCCCTGATTTTGGGGGAAATTTTTTAAAACAATATTTTGTGCTGTTAGAGGGGTTGCTTACCAGAGCAACCCCCACTTCCAACCGAGAGGTTGTGAGTTCGAGTCTCCCCAAGAGCAAGGTGGGAAGTTCTTGGAGGAAAGGATGTCGGGGGTCTATTTGGAAACAGTCTCTCTACCCTAGGTTAGGGGTAAGGTCTGCGTACACACTACCCTCCCCAGACCCCACTAAGTGGGACTATACTGGGTTGTTGTTGTTGTTGTTGTATTTTGTGCTGTTAGCGTAAGCGGATCAAAAAATTTGAGTATATAGAATAAGGGTGTCTAACGGGTGGGTCGGGCTGGGTAGGTAAATTTTGGGATATTTGCATCTATACTCGCTTTTTGTGTCACGTTTTAACTTATGTCTGTTTTGCAAAAAAAAATTGCAAGTGTACCCGCTTTTTCGCATAACTTCAGTATACGGGGCTGAAGTAGCAAAGACAATCATGCAAAACTTCAGTATTCTAGTAGCCGGGCCTGAGTATTTGTTTTGTAACTGTCGAACTTCAGCTCTAGAGCTGAAGTTTTTGTTTGTAACTGTCGAACAGCTCTAGAGCTGAAGTTTTTGTTTGTAACTGGCGAACTTCAGCTTTAGAGCTGAAGATTTTGTTTGTAAGCTTCAGCTCTAAAGCTGAAGTTTTTGTTTTGTAATTGTCGAACTTCAGCTCTAGAGCTGAAGTTTTTGTTTGTAACTGGCGAACTTCAGCTCTAGAGCTGAAGTTTTTGTTTTGTAACTGTCGAACTTCAGTTTTAGAGCTGAAGTTATTTGGAAGCTAGCTTTAGAATAGGATCTGCTCAAATAAGTTGGGGATCCATCCATCAAACAACTTGCTAGTTTGTTAAAATCTTTGGGATAAAATCTCAGCATCGGGCTCAAGAATTTTTATGTGCTAACATACTCAATTTAGCTTTACAAGAAACAACTTTCACCTTAATAATATTTATCAAAACAACCCAAAAATATAAGTAAATAAATGCAAATTAATCATCCCTGATTGCGAGAACAAATAATGAGTTTCGTAATACGATTAAAATGCAAAGACGTTGTCACTTAACAATGGTATCTTGATAGTTTCCACTCACAAAAGGAACTATGGAAAATAATTTCTTTTTTAATCATATAAAGGTACAAAAGAAAGTTTTAACTTCTATGCACCAACAGTGTAAAAGAAATTTTACCTAAAAAATAATCTGCACCAACAGCAGCAGAAGAAAGAAGAAGAAAACGAAGGATGAGAAGGAGGAGGAGAAAGGGGGCTGAAGTTATTTAAAAAGTGGGTACAAGTTAAAAGTATTTTTAAAAAATGGGTATAGGTTAAATGGGGGCGACCAAATAGGGCGCCCCGTGCAATTTTTACATAAATTTTGGAACCGAATGGGTTGGGAACCGTGCCGATTACAGATTAGGGCTTACCGGGTTTAGCGGGTTCGGGTTCATCCGGGTAAAAATGAACCGTATGGGTTACGGGTACAAGGGGCCAGGCCAGGTTAGTGTAATTTTTAATATTTTTTTTTTTGTATTTTGTATAACTATTATAAGTTATATAATATAAAGAATACAATGAAGATGAGAAAAAATTGCACTTATAAATTGCAAGTGCTACATTTATTTCAAAATTCAAACTTACAAATTAAAAGGTTTACATTTAACAATAAGTAAATTAACAAAAAAAAGAGTAAATTCAAAGGTTTTGCATTGTCTTAGTAAGTTTTTCGTAATCAATATGAATTGATTGGCCTTCTTCTGGAGTGTTAAATTCAGATGGGTTACCATGTGTTAATACATCTCTAAGTTCCTCGTCTTCTGGGCTATCAACATCTTCACGTCCTTGATTTCTTCGTTCCGATCTAATCCAATCTCTGAAACATACTAAAACTTTCAAAGCATTGCTTCCCAATGAGTGACGGGTGTCTCCAAGTTGTTGTCTTGCTTTTCTAAATGCACTCTCTAATGCAACAGTTGAAATTGGCACATTCAGCATGTCCCGGGCCATAGCGGAAAGAACAGGAAATTGCTTTCCATTCTTATGGCATCATCTCAACGGTGAAAATTCCTTTGTGCGAGGCTCTTTTTGCTTCTGCAAGTAGAATTGAAGTTCATCAATGTTCCTGCTATTGATTTGAGTGTTAGAAAATGTAGAAAAAAATATTAAAACTATCAAGGCTTTCATCATCATCCACAGTAGTAGATGTGGTACAGTGCATAATGGGATTAACATTGCCTACATTAAGAGCAGCATCATCAATTATATTTGCATAATAATTATATAATTATTGTAAAGATTTATTTAGCTTGTTCATACAAACACACACACACACACACACACACACACATATATATATATATATATATATATATATATATATATATATATATGG